TGTGGGGGGGGAGCATAGTATTTGCTGATTTCCATGGTGCATATAAATATTCCCACCACGATTAATATCTAGCTACAAGCCTCAGATCACTAGAGAGAGAGGTGCAGTGGCAGATCATTATATATTAGTTTCACCTTAAGAACATGAGTAATATAATGTAAAATAATTTAAAAGCAATGTATTGTAAGTATTGTCTATGTTTATTTAAGCACAAATCCTGAAAAATTAATAATTGGCTTTTGCCAGCTCCAGCACACCACTGATGGATAGTTGAATAAAATTGTAGAGGTTGAATGCATAAAAAATATATAATTTATTATTGTGCAGGTGAAGAGGCAACAACAAGCCAAGGTGACTTTTTAATTTTATACTGGAATTTTCAAGGAGAGAGGTTGAGAGTGGGAGGAGTAGATTCAAGAGGAGAAATTGCTGACTACACTTGCAGCCTGTTTAGTTTTGAGAAACTTGAGAGTGTTTGAAATATAGGTCTTCCTTTGTGCTCAAAGAAAGGGCCATCACTTTGGGACTCTTTTGTATGGAGACTATTACTGAACCATGAATGGGAATGAGAGAAAGGAGGATGGAACCTTGGAGCATTATCCTACCTTTCAAGAAAAGGCAATGGCATATAAATCAGCTGAAGAAATGCAGATGGAACAATCTAAAGAGGCAAATGGACCAAACAACCAAACAAAAATTACATACGGAGATACAGTCTGAAGGGGCACCCTTCGCTTTCTGAAGATGACATTTAGAGTTCATCTTTGGTTTTTTTTTTTTTTTTCCAACTTAGTAGGAATTCCTCTCTCTTAGAATCAGTGGAACCATGACCCAAGACCACGACACAGTTCTTTCTATTGAATTTCACCTACCACATGTTTCAGCTTATTCTGTAATATCTTGGGATAATGACCAAACCTCCTCCTTTCCTACTGTCAACCTGAAGAGGACATCGGATGTTTCCCATATTCCTCAGCCAGTGTCACGGAGACCAGGGAAGAGGGGCTTTTCAAGGAAACCACATTAGGGGTAGTCAAGCCGCTAAAGGGAGGTTCTGGAGGAGCAGGCTCCGACAAAGCCACCATGCTTGGCAATTGCTGCTAACCCAAATGGCAGAAAGCAGGATGAAGCAACAGGGGTGCTGGGAAACAGGCTGCTAAATTTTAGCATCTCAAACCTGCATTTGAGTCTCTGTTCTGCCACCTGCCATGAGCTGTATGACTCAGAGCAGTACCCAAATGCTATGAATCAGGAAAGGGAAAAGGAAACCAGCATTTACTGAATGCCACTCGCAGGCACTAGGCACTGTGGTGGGAAGGCTCTTGATTGCTATCTCATTTGCCATGACAACGCATGTGAAAGCAGGAAGTTCCTCGAATATGAGGTGGTGGTTATTGGAAATAGGCAGAGAAAAGGGAGACCAGCTTGAAGCGGTAGATGATAGCAAGATTTTAATAGCCAAATCTCCAATGATCCTGGAGCTGGAGCGACGCTAGCATAATTTTGCTAACATCACATTGTGTGTTCCTTGCCGTCAACTTCAGAGGTAGAATTTTAGAATGCACTTTGTAACTGCCTCTTTCTCTGTGTTTCCAGAACACTTGATATGTTTAAGTCAGCCTTAAGACTTAATGGATGATAATACTTACTCATTAACTAAAGTTAATTATCACTATCAGATTTAAGGAAAGAGAAAATGACAGGGAAACCCTGCCATCTCCCAAGTTTATTTAGTAAATACACTGACTAATTTTGTGATTTTTTTTCATCAGTATCACACAGCCATTGATATCTGAAAAAAGTACTTTGAACTTCACCATCTTGCAATTTTGCATCAAGCTAAACACATATCTAATATTTAATAATAATATTAAATCCCTCAAGAACTTTTCACTCTCAAGAAGAGATAACATAAATTCCAAGTCAGCAAAAATGGGTAGTGAACAATATTTTGTGTTTTGTGGGAAGAAAAACTATTCGTCATAGTTTGTCTTTTGTTCCTTTTCCCTTTCTTTAGGATTTAGACTCAGGTGCATATTTGATTTTATTTCTCTGTTTTTTTTTTTTTTGAAAGAATATGATCAAGAAAACATAATGCCTTTTACAGTTGGAGTTATTCCAACCAGTTTTGCAAAATTCTGTAGTATCTTTCTGCCAGACACTAGAACCATGCATCATCCAGACATTTAAATGATCCCTGATGCATATTTTAAGAAAATACTCCTGCCAGTTATCTAGAATTGACTTGATATACAAGGCTTAGTATTAAGACTTACAGTGTGGATTCCACTAGGAAGAACTACAACGTGAAGTTGGATTCATTTAGAAGCAATGCCCAATTAAAATGAAGACAATTTAGAAAGACAACACAGAAAAAAGTAAAAGATGATACTCATACTTTTAGAAACTGACAAACGTAGGGTTTGAAAGAAACCCAGAAAGATGAACCTTTGCATTTTAAATCTGACGCAGGCCCTTCTAACTGCAGTTCAGTTGTATACCAAGAGACCAAGATGGAGAAACCACTTAATGTTGCCAGCCTTCTTATTCCATACCAAGCACTATGCAGAGTGATCTTTAGATATTCTTCACATAGTTCCAAAACTTCAGCTGACACAGAATTGCATTCAGAGACTGAAAGAGCCCCGCTTCCTAAGTAGGTTTTCCTTGCTTGAATGGGCTGGCTGCTCCTTACATAAGGCCTCTATGCCAATCACAATTTCATTTACTTATTTCACAAACGTTATTGAATGTTTAGTGTGTACACTTGGTGCAGGGCACATACAATGCAGTTGCTGTTCTCAAGATGTGCACTGTTGTTTATGAATGTCTACCCTTTCAGATTAACTAATTATACAGTTTAACTGTGGAGGGGTATTTAAGGTACTGGGGGATCTAGAGAAGAGGATGGTTCATACTAAGTAGGGAAGTGGGGATAGACAATGACAGGGAAAACTTGCCACCTGCCAAGTTTATTTAGTAAATAAAGTGAATGAAACGGGACTTCATGAATCTCACTGCATTGGAACTGCCATGCTAACAGAGCTCCATGTTCATGTTTATATCTGATTTCTAATTGGTTTGGTGCTAATGATTTCTAAGACTCTCTGTACCAAGAAGACTTTTGCATGATATCTCAAAGTCATGTCTATTTGTGGGCTTAAAAGTGAATGGGGTTTTAGAATCAGCATTCAGGGATTCTTTGGCATAGGACATAAAGCAGTAGGTAATTTTAAAATAGTGTTTATATCAAATTTTCTCACTTAGCCTGGTCTACAACCACAGGTTCCTAGGTGGAAACTGGATTTGATCTACATTGTTCAGTCATTAAAGTATTATTTTGTTAAAACATATGTTCTCTTACCATCTTATAGCCAGAGAGCACCAGAGAAAATTTGCCATTTTAGTTGAGACAAGCACCCCAGTGCCCACTAAAGTCATTTATTTTGGAGTTCTGGTCTACTCCTTGCACAGGGACCTTGCCAGACATATGAAAATTTTCACAGGTTGCTCCCAGAGCCAACAGTATGATTTTATAAGTCATTTCTTCTTCTTTGCTGTTTCAGCACTCTCAATTCCCCATCACCCCTGTCTTTCAGGTCCCATTTCAAATGCCACATCGTCCACAAAGTCAACATTATTTTTTCTCCTCTTGTAGAATAATAGTTATATAAACTATTACATTCTTTGATAGATTCTGAGATAGAATTAAAATCCAAGTCATCATCATTATTGCATCCCATTTCACTTAGCAAAGTACTTTGTAAAGATGGACAGTCTGGTTGAACAGGCAATTAAATGGACTCTTAGACATACTGATGACAGCAGGTGGCCTATAGCAAATGAAGGAAGCCGTCTCTTACTTGATATCTAAGTAGAAGTTGATCTATACCTCTTCACGTTGACTGTGTGTTGACCATTCGGGTAAACATGTATGATCAAAAGAAAAAGGAAATATTTTGGACTGAACCATTTTTGACACATAATGTACTACTCAGCCTGAAGGATTTGATAAATAGTAAGCACACAAGGTATATGTTGAGGTTGTGAAAACACAGATGTATTATCTTCCTAGTATTCTTTTCCACTATAGGATATTTCAATGTTTCAGGCACCTGACTCTTTAATCCATTCAGAAAATTAGATTCTCCTTGGAATGACAGGTCTTGTCTAGCCATTGTACATTGTTGACTTTCTCATGGCCTCTTCTTTGAATCTTTTTCTACCAACTGGAAAATGACCCATGAGTCCAAAAGTAATGGAGTTTTAAAAATGCCTTAGAGCTCTTCCAGTAGCAAAAAATTGAGGTCTTTATTTTCACACAGAGAACACTTGGATTTCACCTGGAATTTCAAGATACATTCAACTTGGAAGAAAATGGAATAAAACAAGGAACATATACTCTCCACCAATGGCTTGTCATTAAAAATCTCTTTCCAGAATACTCTGTGCTATATCGTGTGAAGCATTTTAATATATTAATTATATGCGTCTCACTAAATTAGTCTTAGGACTTCCTTATGGAGTTTCAGAATATGAGATGTTTTAAGTTGAGTGATTTACTAAATGCTTTGTTTTATTTTATTTTTTTTTTGTAAATTGAACCACAATATTGAGAGTGTTTGGGTAAGAAAGCCTTCTTAGATCTTGACCAACATTTAAAAATAGCTTCTAAAATGTAAATACCCTAAATATTTGTATTTTTACATAATGTTTAAAAAAATATCCATGTTGCATTGTTGTGATCAAGGTTCATGGTAATTGTGGATTTAATGTTTCTACCTGATAAAATAAAATTAATTTGGCTCAGTATTTGRTTCCCTGCATTCCAGTAATGGTGCTTAATAATACTTTTGACTTTAGAGGGATAGAAAATCATCACAATAACTTCAGTAGAATTCCTGAGTTTAAAACATAGTTAATAAGAATAATAAAAATACTTTTATTATGTGTTGGTTCCCTGATAATTTTGGCTTTTCTTTTCTCTGTTTGCCTTGTAGTGCGGGAGTTGGCCGGACTGGTTGTTTCATCGTAATAGATGCCATGTTAGAAAGAATAAAGCATGAAAAAACTGTAGATATTTATGGCCATGTAACTTTAATGAGAGCCCAGAGGAATTACATGGTTCAAACAGAGGACCAGTACATCTTTATCCACGATGCACTGTTGGAAGCAGTGACTTGTGGAAATACCGAAGTGCCAGCCAGAAACTTGTATGCCTACATCCAGAAGCTGACACAAATAGAAACAGGCGAGAATGTCACAGGCATGGAACTCGAGTTCAAGGTATGGCATCAGACGTGATGTGGTTATTCAGGAGCAGGTCAATTCTGGGATTGTCTTTGAGAAGTAGCCTTACTTCCTTAACCTTTCAAATGTTGAAGTACAAGATTCATTTGACCTTTAGGATCCTCAGGTATCTGATTATAAAACAATTTCTTCCTCTTTTTCCTTTCTATTCTTTGCTTCRTAGCAATACCTTGAGCCCTTTTGTGTCTTAATTTGAGAGATCAGACTCTCAGAACATAACATTTTAAAACTTTGATAGGCAATTTGAAATAATCAGGTAGATGTAAAATGCACAGCAGTATGAATAGTCATTTATTTTAAAGCAAACAAGATTCATATCTAAAAACAACATCTTGGCTACCTTCCATTCAAGCCCCTGGCTAAAATTATCTTTGTAATTTTTTTTCTTTTTTTTTTTTCATTCAACAGCGTCTAGCCAGCTCAAAAGCTCACACCTCAAGATTCATCAGTGCCAATCTTCCATGTAATAAATTCAAAAATCGCCTTGTTAATATTATGCCATATGAATCCACAAGGGTATGTCTGCAGCCTATCCGAGGAGTAGAAGGATCTGATTACATCAATGCCAGTTTTATTGATGGATACAGGTATATACTCTTGCTCTCCTGACAACCCAAAGCCTTGATATTTACATGTGCCCTAGTTTCATAACCAGAAAGAATTTCATCTCAATTCAAAGCCATTTTCTTTCTGCATAGGTCAGCACTCAGTCCCTTGGTATTTGTTTTTTATTATATTGGATAAGAGTAAGAAGCAGCAGTTATGGAGGTTTTTAATCTGACCTTTTGCACTCTTCTTTTAGAATACATTTGGATTTGAAAGGTGTTAATAAAGAAGCTATTTTGCACCATATTTCATAAATTTAATAGATTGCGTGAGAGTCATTTCTACAAAAYGAAGCTGCATAACTATTTAAGTGATTTGTATGACACATGAAATTGAGCTATTAGCATTACACTAAAATTTAAATAGTAACGATAAAGTCGTACATCATAATATTAACAAAGCAATTTATTTTGCAAAATGTATTAAATGCTCTTGTTTGATTATGTAATCTGAAAGGGAATTTACAGCAATTGCATTAATAATGTATTCATTTTCTATTACCAGGTTTGATGTTTACAAATCAGGTGTGAGCTTTTGTATGTTTTCGAAATACTTTAACAGGCTCTTTTCATCCTCTATAATTCAGACAACAGAAAGCTTACATTGCTACCCAGGGACCCTTGGCAGAGACCACTGAAGACTTCTGGCGGATGCTATGGGAACACAATTCCACCATTGTTGTGATGCTCACCAAGTTACGTGAAATGGGCAGGGTAAGTGTATCACCACCTAAGAGATTCACTTTCTAGAGAAGAGGGGATTTCATTTTACCAAAGTACCGACCTCATTTCTTTGAAAAACAGACACAATATGGACCATTCATTACTCCTTGTTGGTTTCTAATTTGCAAAACCACATGGAGCTGTTTGTTTTTGAGGAAAGATCTAGTGATTTGTTTCCAATGAAGCACAATCATAGAGACAAATGAGTCAGCAGGTGCTCCTGTTAGATTTACATGTAACTCAGCATATTCTTACTTCCTTTTGCTCTGGACAGGCTGGAGTTTATTAAGTAAATGTGCTATCATCTCTGTATGAGGGAACTTGACTTTTTAACATTCATGGGACTAATTCTTACTTACCTACCTTGAATGACCACTGAATAATGTGTTAGAAAGTTATATAGTGTCTCCAAGGATGTAATCCCAGTTGTATTTAAATGATGACTCTAAAATAATCATAAAGTAATATTAGAGATACCTAAGGACCTACCACTTAGATTCAGAACACACAAGCATTTTGACATGCTTGCTAAAGGTATTTTTTTCTCTTTTCTTTATATACATTAAAATGGTAGAAATACATCTGAAACCCAATTTTTAAAGCCCATAGAGAAAGAAAAAATACTATCAGTCTAGAAAAGTAACTGACATCTAATTTTGCATATGATTCTCCACAGGGCTTACTCAGGTCATTAAAACTGCCTGGGCCCTGGGTTCCTCAGTGGTATTGGACTAGATGAGTTCAGAGGTTTCTTGCTGTGTTCACTTGGATAATTTCCTTCATTCCAAACCACAGTGGTGCAAGTCAGCTATGGTGGTGTGATGCCAATTGGATAACTTATAGATAGAAAGATACCTGCCCTGTTGAAGTGTTCAACTGATGTGTATTATGCAATTACTATATGCCAGGTCCCGTGCTGGATATCATGGGCAAATTTCAAAACAGATGGTTTCCCTATCCTCAGGGAGCTTTGGGTTTTTAAACAGAAAATGAGTTAGATACACTTGGAATGGCCTTGATTTTCAAAATTTTATTCGTGAAAGAGATGATATATTGACATGCAAAATTTATTTTCACTTCATGTAGTTTAACATAGATCTCTCCTTTCAGGAGAAATGCCACCAATACTGGCCAGCAGAACGATCTGCAAGATACCAGTATTTTGTTGTAGATCCCATGGCTGAGTACAACATGCCACAGTATATCCTAAGAGAATTCAAGGTCACAGATGCCAGGGTAAGTTGACAGTCTTAACCATTAGCTGAAAATTCATCCAAAATACACTTTTTCTGGGAAAAACATTTGCCAAGTAGTCATACTCCCAAAGAGAGAAGAAATCACCCATTCTGGATGACCTTTTTTTTTTTTCTTTTTTTTTTTTTTTTAAATATGTAAGAGTAACTTTTCCTCTGTCTGGCAAGCACTCTTACAAACCCAGATTTGGCTTCTATTCAAATGAAACATCTGGCAGCCCAACGCTGGGGATGCACTGGGTGAGTGAGTGTGTTGGGAAACATTTACTGATTGGTTGGCTGTGCTTACATTCACCTTCTCAGCTCATTCTCTTTGGAGGTTTTTTTGATTTCTTCATTACTTGAGGCTGTAAATATGTTGTTGTTTTGCAAAGCCCTTTAGGTCATGTGGGCTTGGAGGTTAATTTGGTATGATTTTAAAACTGCAGAGCAAATGACATTCTTTAGAAGAATCTGACAAGCTTTGCACATTCTAATTTGATTCCTGGCATGGTTTATTCCTCCGTGTGCTAATATGTCTGTCCATGAGAGCTGTGCACCCATGACCCTTGTTGGCTAATTTTCATTCTGCATTTTTTATCAAGATTGCTGGGTCCAAGGTTCATTCCTGAAGTAAGATGTTCTAGGCATAAACTTTAATATCTTAGCCTTTGGCCACTCTCAAACCATGATTTCAAATACTTCTTAGGGGAGACTGGGTCAGTTCAAAGCCCTGCTTTGTTTTGTCACCATGGGTGGGTGGAGCAAAACTCCAGAGTAAAGCTATTTACTAGATCCATTTTTTGTTTGTTTGTTTGTTTTTGTTTTGCCTAGAAATCAGCTTTCTTCAAACTCACATTTGGAGATTGTCTACTAATGCCCAAAGCTAAATAGAGAGAAAGCAGTTAGGAGGGGTGGCCCTGGTAACAGATGTGTTAATCCAAACTGTCTGAAGTAATAACTACCCTAAAGGTGACAATATTCAAGGCAGCAACGTTTCTGGTCTCATTTTGAGTTGGGATGACTAACCCTAATCTTTACAAAAACAAATAAGTAAATAAAAATGCCCTTTCAACGTATGTGACTAAAAATCTTAAGTGCCTTCTTCAAGTAAACTCACAAACTATTTCTGATCATGGAGACCAAGAGACAGGCTCTGTCAGGGGCAGAAACATCTTGACTACTCCCCATATTTCCAAATTAAATCTGATTTCAATAAACAAAGGAAATAGTAAGAACCTGCTCACATGTTCTCTTTTTTAAGTCTCCCTGTGATTGTGTAATTTTCTTAGCTACCACAGCACTTGCTGTTTGTGCTCCTGGTGTGCTTCTAATCTCAACTTCCCAGTTTAGAAAGCAAGTTGGCACTTGATACTGTATAGTTAAACAGGTCACCTTTAAATGGAATGGGGTGGTCTCTCTTCCAATAGTAAAGGTTTGTGCATGTGACCTCTTAGTGCTGTTAAAAGCAACTGTGGTCAGAAATGAAATCCCCAGGACATTCAGAGGAGAACAAACCTATATTACCTAGCCTCACTTTCCAAACCTTTTCCAGGAACAGGAGGAAGTCAATCGTGCTTCTATGGTAACCATTTACAAGTTGGTTATGGAGCCAAGCAGTTATTTCTGTATTCCTGTGTGTTATCACAAAGTCACTGTGTTCTTCCTCTTCTACCTCCATCCCCAGATGGACTCTAACCTGTGCATATAGGAACCACCAAACTAGTTGAGTCACCCTCTTCTCAGTATGACTGAAGGAGAACAATTGAACCTCTGTCACTTACACAGAATGTTGGGAACACAGCTGCCTATGTCAGAAAAAAAAGTGTATAGAAAGGAAGAAGCCTCTTCCAATGGCATCAGTTTTCCTAGATTAGAAGCTTGGATTCTGTCTCTCCTGATGAGTCAAAGGAGAAATYTGATAGGCATGATTAGTATTCCTGCTTCTGTGAGCTGAGGGTCCTTTCTGCTCCAGTGCTTCCAAAAAAAAAAAAAAATTCCCAAAAGAATCAGAAGTGCTTTAATATCTTTTCTTCAAACCATCATACTTCACCAGTCAGAGCAATTTCACCTAGTCACTTCAGTGAAGAAACATCTGGATTGTTTTCTTTCTGTCTTTTGGGTTATATCTGTAAAAAAATCCCATAGCCTTCTTAATTCCTGTCATCAGCCAGTAAGAGTTCTTTAAAGAAAAGGGCATTTATTTGGAAAAAAAAAAGTCACTTTGGTCTCCTTAAGGAATATTTCACTTCCAGCTTAACAACATAGGCACCTGCTATGTTGCTTGCCATGGTTAGAAACTATGTGTCTGAGACAGGTGGGGCATCCAGGTTAACAGTATCTACCTGGTCAGTGTCAGATCCTTTAAATGTCACCAGTTGAGATTTGACAACGCAAGCAATAAGCAAACACAGTAGATGTGAAATTATGACAACACCAAAACCTCTCTGCTCTGGATATTTCTTTTCATATTCAGAAGTTAGCAAACTCTGAAATTTGTGAAAGAGTATATTTGTTCCATTTTAGAAAGAATGTGGACTGGATGAATAATTCTGAAACCAAACTTTGGGTCCCAGAAACATTTATTAATAGAACTATTTGGCTACTATCAGAGAAGCTAGGTTTTTAAAAGAAGGCATTGTGAGTAAATAAATTTGATTTAAACATCATAGCAGCTAAGATACAAACACACTTAAGTTTCCAGTTAAATGTGTTACTAACTTTTTCTGCCCTTTTCATTTTGGGAAAAAAAATATGATTGCTCTTGTGGTCTGTGCGCTTGCTGCCCCCTCCTCTGTGGCCTGGTGTGTGGTTTTCCCTGTAAAGGACGGCCAGTCCCGAACAGTGAGGCAGTTCCAGTTCACTGACTGGCCAGAGCAAGGAGTGCCAAAGTCTGGAGAAGGATTTATTGACTTCATTGGCCAAGTCCATAAAACAAAAGAACAGTTTGGCCAAGATGGACCCATTTCAGTCCATTGCAGGTGAGTTGAGAATCATGAATGCTAACTATCCGTTTGTGGTTAGTGCATAACAACATTGAAAATAAATGTTATTGCCATGAATCTGCATAGTTGAAAATTTATTCTCAGAAACACATTGTGAAAATCAGAGGAAAATTTTCATCTCTCAAATTTACCTTTTATCGGGGAAAAAAGCAAACTGTGGTTTTCCTTGCCAGGAAGTGTTGGTATTTTCCCTAATCATAATTTATTGTGTCAATCCATTCTTATTTGCTTTACTTTCATAGCATTGCACTGATAACTATCTTTCTCCTGTGTTTGTCTTGGAAAACCATAAATAGCTATCAAGCCTTAATGACAATACTAATTCTTGCCAGTTGATAAGTGATTCGAATGGTACCTCACTTAAAAATGCAATTTGCTTGAAAATTGTTGCTACATAAGAAAATGAAGCACCTTCAACTTAATTATTTTCAACAGTTTCTAGAGCATTTTATAATTTAAGTCATTGAAGTTAATAGAAATACCAAGTAAACGATTTAGACGTTCACCATAAATTTAGTGCTTTTGGAAGGTGCTATGCAAAAAAACCTGTGGTAAACAGAATTTATCTAATTTTACTTAAACTACTATATTTTAGGATGCTGGCAACTTTAAGTCTTAGTATCTAATCTTTTATATGGTCCTGGAGGAGTTTGTCAGGTTTATTTATTTTTGGTACCAGGAGTTGAACCCAGGGGTACTTAACCACTCAGCCACAGACCCAGCCTGTTTTTGTTTTATTTTATTTTTATTTTTATTTCTTTGAAACAAGTTCTTGCTAAGTTCCTGAAGCTCGCTCTGAACTTGTGAGTCTCCTACTTCAGCCTCCCAAGTCACTGAGATTATCAGGTTTATTTTGCTTTGGTATTTGAAAGAAGAAGAAAAAAATCTAGTTCTTGGTGACATTGACATTGAGGCATAATCTCAATAGAAATCTCAATTCAAATAGTGTGGGTTCTCAAGATATGTGTTCTCATCCTAATTCTACTCTTATGTAGCTCTGGGACTTTTAAATGTCTCAAATGACCTCTAAGAGCCTTTCTAGCACCCCTGTCTTCTCAGGTCTATTCTAAGAGAAAGAGATCTTACTTTTAATGCATTTGCTTTATGCTGAGTTATCAAAAGCCCTTTGCTCTCTACAAAGCAAAGAGCATGTAGAATGTGACAGACAGACACAAATATTCAAAGTGGATGTTGTATACCTGACTTGAAATACTTAACACTAGAAATTTTGCACATAATTTGCCCAAATGCAAATTCAAACTTTTTCAATATGATCTATGAGGAAAAGAATGTTTAACTTAATACACATTTTAGCTGTGGACATTCTCACAGGTACATAAGAGTATGTGTCTGTTTCTTCTCATTGCTTTTATCATCACACAAAGATTTAAGCACTTAGTGTAAATACTGTGGCATGCTCTTCACACACCTTAAATACATATATTTTGAAGACTTCTTGATATCTGCTGTTATCTGGGAACGGCCTGAAAATACCACTTCTCTAATTTATAGCCTATTAAAGTAACATGATAAAGTCAGTAAATTTAGATGTTATAAGGTCAGTGCCTTTCTTGAAAATACTTTATAGAAAGCCAGAAACACTGTATTTTTCTTACAATGGAGCAATTCAATCAACATAAGGTAGACTCTGGTGTACCTGGACCATTCAACAAAAAAATTATAGGTCACAGTCTCTCAGGACTTAGGCTTTCAAGGTTCAAAGGGACCTTCAAGGTCATCTTCTCTGTCTTAGCAGAAGCCTTGGCTGCTGCTGGACATCCTCAGTTGCTGTTTAAAGACTGCATATGGATTTTAAAGCCTCACTTAACATTTTCGTGTAGAAACTGCAGTTTATAATGGGACACACTATTTATATATGCCCATCAGCTACATCCCCTGGTAAATGAATCCATCCATTTTCCCCAGCCTTTGCCCAAGCTTTACACGTGCCATTTAATTAGGATCCAAAAATGTAGGGATTTTTGAGATTATTCACTGCTTTCCTCATTACCTAAACCTCCAGATGCCTTTCTACTTCTTAAGTGCACAAGAGCTATGAATTCAGTTTTCATTGTTGCTGCTGTGAAGATTCTGGAGTTATCTGGAAATAGTAAAGACAACAGAGTAGCTCAAAAACCCTGGGTTTCAGCTGCTGATCACCTTAAAATAGTAAAGCTTTGTTTTACATTGAAGTCCCCTTTGAGAATCTGTTGAACATTATGAGTTCCAAGGAACAAATGACATCTCCCTAACATATACATGCAGGGTATTCATAAACTCTCCCTGGACTAAGTGAAAAATCCTCTCGAATGGGGTGGGGGGACTGCTAAAGAATCTCTAAGCCAATGTCAAATTTAAGAGGTGATAGGGCACCCTGCAGACTTTGACTACAAAGTGAATGAGGCACTAGAAAAGTTGAAGGTGTCCAGTATGCTTCATCGTCGTCTGAATTATTTCATCCTCTGAAAATATTCTTATAAGCAAGGTCTACAGTGTCAGGATCTACATGAATACCATAAAGGTATTTTTTTACCCCCTTTTTAAAAACCCTTTCTCTTATCAACATTTATTTTGCAATGTTTGTTTTCTTGGTCCTTCTAAAATGGCATGTAACCCCAGTTGAAAAGTCATTTGAAAGACAATCTCATGTGTTATCACAACACACCATCCCAAGAGCAATCCTTTAGCGAACTCAATTCCACATTTTCCTGAACAAAGCTGTGGAGAAACTTGAAATGTAGAAGAATGTCCTCCCCCAAGCAAAAGCAGCTGAGAGTATGAGCATTTCAAGTAGGAATGTTGCTTTTGTTTTTCTGGCAGTGCGGGCGTTGGAAGAACTGGTGTCTTCATAACTTTGAGCATTGTTTTGGAAAGAATGAGATATGAAGGCGTTGTAGATATCTTCCAGACCGTCAAAATGTTAAGAACACAACGGCCAGCCATGGTACAGACAGAGGTAAGGAAAATCTTCATGAGTTTGTCACATCTCAAAAGCTTGTGTTTCACTAGGTAGGATCTCCCAGAGTCCAGGCACAAAAGATTATGGAAAAGGCATCAAATGTTTAATGTTGTTGAACTTCATTTGCCCCTCTTTAAATGGAGTGAAAATATTCATATCTCAGTGTCGGAGAGATTTATGAGAGTCTGCATTCAGCTAAACTAGCTTAAATTGTCAACATTTAACACCCACAAAAGAGCAATTAATTATATACAATGTTAATGATTAATACTTACCTATTTATTATATAAATATAATGTATGGTACATAATATGCCCTCTCAGCCCATTTTACTTCAGCTGCTCTGTATTTCTTAAATATTGGAATCCTGATACACTGAGAGAAATTAGACCCCTATTTCCAATAATTGATATGGAAATTTCTCAGAAAAATGAGAGATCATGATTAAGCCAATCTGGCCTAATGACCATTTATTTCTAAGGATTACATGAATGAAAGTGTATAGTCCTCAAGTGGCCATGAAATTATGCAAGTTTACTTATGTGTTCTTAAATGCATCATTCACAATATCTTCCAGACTTTGATTTCAAAATAGTGCAAGCATTTGGTTTGCAGTACTCAAAACATTATGTCGACCTGACAAACTTAATGGGTGTTGGGGGTGACAGAGGGAAATTGGACATTTAAAGAGCCTTAACACTTAGCCAAACAACTTACTGTGACAAGATAGGAAAGCAAACTCCATTTATTTTGCATTACCATTTTTATTGTAGAAAAATGCACATTTAAGCAAAATAGAAACTATCTACTTTCAGCCCCATTGGCTACCGAAAATAAGTTTCTTTTATAGGGAAGAAAATCCTACTTTCTCTCATCCCTATAGTCATCTATAAATTGTAATTTTTCCATCTCTCCAACAATCCTCCAATTTATTCCAGTATGACAGCATTCTGCCTTGTCTGTAAAAGGGCATGTTTCATTCTGTTTTATTTTAGTGTGGGCCTCTCTCACACAGACAACTTGCAATCACACAGAATTAGGCCAAACTGCCCACGTAGTTTTTGTTGTGGGAAGCCAGTCTTGTGATACCATTTTCAGGGGTGAAAAGCTTGGAACTCCAGTGCCCTATGTAAGTGACTTGTGAGCCTGGTATTCCATCTAGCTTGTGGCTGCCTCTGTCACTTACACATGAATGTCAAAAGTGATGGTGAGTGACTCTGATTGTGCAGGGTCTAGTGTCCAATCAGAGTTTAAACTCAGTTGGCAGTAGGAATTATAAATCCGCATTTCCTTAAAGGCCATTTGTATTTCTATCAGCCTCTCTCATCTGATAAACTGAGAAWTAGTTACCACAAATCAGGGATCATTGTAAAAGATGACTGTGGCATGTAGGACCTGTGGGTTCCGTTGATGGTAGTTGTTAATACTTGGAAAATGGTTCATACTTGTCTGGAAGGTAATATTCACTGGAGTTATCACTACTTGGCATTAGGAGACTTTTAGTCAAATTGATTGGCAAAGTTAATAAACACCCCATGTGATTAATTACTCTTTGCTCACTATCACTGACTAGTCATTGGATCAAACTGATTAAAGAAAGTAGTGATTGTGTTTCCAGTTTGTTTTCCAATATGGCTTTTCATTTTCCTCTTCTTTCCCCATGCCCTGTCTCCTGCAGGATCAGTACCAGTTTTGCTACCGAGCCGCACTAGAGTACCTGGGCAGCTTTGATCACTATGCAACGTAGAAACCCCTGACCCTTTCAGGATTTTTACTACAGGCCCTTCGCTATCCATGGAGTCTCTTCTGAGCCATACAGGGCACTTGAGAAGTCCTTCTTAACTTCTAGCTAACAACCACTTAGTGGGACTATTACACACAAAACAAATTAAAAACAAACTATTCCAGGTGGACCAAGAATTCACAGTTTAATAATCTAACCCGAAAAATAATAAATGAGAATCCTGACTCATGAGGCATCTGAAGGATTTTATTTACAGATACCTCAAGGATTCAAAATAAAAGGGAAGAAGAAATCACAGCAAAGAACCACCATCTCGTTCAGATTGCTTGATAGGTACAGAGTGAAATTGCCAGAGTGCTACAGTTCAGCGTGAGATGTTTGCTGGCGTGGCTTCTCACGATTTAGACGGACTCTGCTTCGACATCACCCCTTCCCACCATGCCACTCGTAACAGCATCTTAGGGGTGAGGGTGGGGATGTTTAAAAAGAAAGTCCTTGATTTAGTTTTTTAGTATTGTAAAGATACTGCTGACCTGTGCTTCATTTCTAACTGTGTAAACTTTTTTTTAACAAAATGTATCATTCGATAAAGTGAATTTTAAAAAAGTTACATAACTCCTCATTTTTTTATTTCCAAATTGTAGGTTTTTTTAAGCTGTCAAACTGTTATCTGTGATATCTTGCTGTAGAAATATCAAATAAGTTGGAAATTTGCACATTTTTGTGCAATACTCTTAATCTACAGTATCCATCTCATCAGATATTACTTTCACACTTCAATTTTGATTGATAAGAAAGTACCCATTCTCCTCAAATGATCAAAGAGAATCTTGTTTTGTTTTTGGAATCAACAGGGAAGCGCAAAGTATAAAGTTGCTGCTAACGTATATACATATATATCCATATTTTAGAAGGGTGTCTATGTATATATAGACAGTGTGTCCACACAAAGATTTAGCTATCATTCAGTTCTTCCGCAATTTAGTTTTCTTAAGGGTAGAGCTATCGTAACATATTCTTCAGTTTGTCCCTAATTTTACAACATTGGTGTTTCTTAATATTGCAAAACTTCAATTTTTTTTTTAAAGGGAAACGAGGAATGCACATCAGTGATTGTCAAACCTCACCCCCTAATTTTCCCCCACCCACCCAATCATATTCACAGGTACCTTTCATTAGCCAGGCTTCCAACCAAGTTCGATATTTCTAACACTCTAGTGCAATAAAAAATTATTCAATATCTAAGAGGTGTGCATGTGGGAAAGGTCAGTGCATATCCCTTTAGAGGGGAGAATGTTGTAATATATCAGCTATCAAGTTGTTTAAAAAAAAGTGTATTCAATCGTATATTGTCTATAGTATGTGCTATGAAATTTGCATTTATGATATGTAACAGGGGCAAAGCCAAACTCATGTTACTCTGTTCAGTCAGAAACATTTTGTGATGTACAGCATTCCTGGGAAGTGCTGTACTTTGTTTTGTTTTGGTTTTAGTTTTGCATTTAGAGTGCCTTATAATTKATGCCTATTTTAATAGCATTTCTTTTTAGCTTTTGGTTCCTATTTCCATTAGTTGTTCATATCTGTTACTCTTTCAATTAAAGCATTATCTGTTTACCACATGTACAAAAACTCTTTGAATAATATGCATTCCTAGTTTTCAACCAAGTCGGGGATGTTAGTGATTGTACCAGCCCAAAGCACTTGGATAATCAGGGCCCTTCCGTTCGTAATTGTCAACATCAGGAAAAGCTACTTGTTTTATTTATAATCCCTTCCAAATCTGTTCTGGAACATGCAGTAGCTGCACCCAACTTATTTTAGCAACACACATCATTGGCAACTTTGGGATATATTTGATATTCCATTAGGATTTTTCTGAAAGGGGAAATTAATATATATCTCCCCCAAATCTTCCAACTTCATTTCTATAGGAAGCCATGGATGGCGGCATGAGTTTGCCACATCACCTTACATGATTTTTAAGAACCCTCAAAAAAAAATCCTAAGAACTCTAAAAGTTTTGATATCAGTATAATATTTTYGTTTAATTTTAACTTCATGGATATTCTGCATGGAAGGATATTTGTTTTCACATTTTTTTCCCATTGCTAGCAGAATGAAATCCAAGAGACCAAACACTTGCAAGCATCATATTTGAGCACTTTTATAAAAAATTTTAAAAAACAACAAAAAAAGAGAAAAAATATATAATACTAAAAAAAAAAAAAAAAGTATCTAGAAGGCTACCTCAGAATGAGACTCTCTAACCTACATCAGAACCAGAAAAGAATGTGCACTATGTGGGTCTGTTGTTGTTTTCTTTTAGTTTGTATCTTTTGAAGATTTATCCAAGTGCCAGATTACTCAGTGCTGTAATTTTCTTTTAATGAAACAAAGGGGGTCAGACAGACATTGCATCATCCAGACACGCCATGTCGGACATGTAGAATCTGATGGAGTATCACACACCAGAACCATTGGCCAGTGAGCAGTTTGTCTCCTTGAAACAAACACTGCCCATGTGGCAAAGGGAAAAGCGACAATAACCACAGGGAGAAAATGAATGGGATGCATACCATAGACGAAGGAGATGGAGACTATTCCAGAAATCTTACTGTTCAGGAGCTGTTCCTAGAACTAACTCCCTTACTGTCATTGATGTGCATTCCACTCTGTACTTTTCTGTACGACCATTCAAGTTTTAATTTCCCAGGTAAACATCTTTATCTGCCATTACCATAAACTTTCAAGTTTTCAATTATTTTCATCATCATAACCAGTACGGTGCTATTATTTACCTATGTACGTGTAGTTATGTATAATTTTGTAATTAGTTACAATGGTAAAAAAATCAAAATATATAAAAAGTGATTTGTACAGAACTTTATTTTAGCTCTTTTTTAAAAATGATTTGCATGGTTAGACAACGGCGAGGACAGCCAGGGGAGGGAAGGGCCTCTAGGGAACTTTGCACTTTCTATACCTTTGTACTATGCACTGCCCTATTGATTCTACACCCAATAATGTTATTACTTGAACCCATCTGTAAGAAACTGCTTCAAAAATTCATTTATGTGTATGTAAATAACACAACATAAAAAGGGAAAGAAAAAATCTGCAATAAAACAGATTTTTTTCTTTCTTGTTTATGTTTGGTTTTGCTTTGTTTTAGCCCCTTCTTTTCTTTTTAATTCCCTTTTCATTTTCCTTTTTTGGGTTTTGGTTTTCCTTTGGGTTTATGGGTGCCCTGATACTCCAGCAGAGATCAGAAGGCTACAGATCCATCCTATCCATCCGTTACGTGGCTTTGCCATCCAAGCTTGGAGTGTCTTTACAAAGATAATAACAGTTGTGTTCTTTGCTCTCGTTTTGGATGCATAGACTGAGAACTTAAAAAATAACTTGTAAAATGGCTTGTTAAAAAATACAATTACCTCTAATTAGTAGTACGCGTAAATGTTTTACAGAATGAAAGGCGTGCTTTTTATTTTCTTACTTCGTTACATTGGTGGCGAAAGAAGTCTGTATGAAATCAGTTCTTTGCTGACACAAGTTCCATTTGTTACAAATGAATTCTAATAAAAATGTCAGTGTTATGCAGCCCCGGCCTTTACTTTTGTCCACTCAAGTGCATTGGTTGTGAATTGGCTATATGTTCCCTCTTCTGCTCATCTAGTGAGCTCCTCTTTTTACCRAGAGCCTACTATTTACAAGCGCCTACCTTGACATAAGCACTTTCCATTGATAAATCAACAGGCTCAGAATTTGCCCAAGTTCACACAGCAAAGAAAGAGATCATAGACAATGCTTGACTCTGTGGAAGATGACTACGATATAAAGTGCATTACAATATATGTGAGCATGATTATCTTGAAATGGTAGATGGCTCTCGTGCACATAAAAACAGATCCATGGAGTTACTTTTTTAAAAATCTTCGTGAACATGGATTATTAACTCATTCAGTATTATCGAACACCGAAAATAGATCAGAACTGCTCTAGGTATTGGGCAAGTAGCTCTGAACAARTACAACATTGCTATTATTTACATAGAAATCACAGTCTAGTGAGAGAAAATGACACAAGTAACAAAGTTATAATCAACTGCTGTCAAGGAAAATAGGGAATCCGTGAAGATAGCACTTTTAAGTTTGTGACAGAAAGTCTGATTCCAGGAAAATAAAGGCATTTATTGGCTCATACTAAAAGAATAGGCGTACACAATATTTAGGCACAACTGGATTCAGGGCTTAGGACATATCTTAAAACCTGACATCTTTCACCATCTTCCTGCCTGATTCCTATTTTCTTAATGTGGATTTTTAGCTTTTCTTTGTGGTTCCTGGAAGCTTCAGGACCATAGTACTACAAGCCAAGCAAGTGGAAGAGTTCACTTCCCTGACAGCAAAAACAAAAGTTCTGGAATGAATTTTTAAGTGGCTTTCACCTTGCCAAACAGCAATAAATATTCTAAGACATACAAGCTGCTGTTCATCAAGTTCATAAGTTAAGGAAAGGCAAACCACTGGTATGTCTGTTAATGCAATCAACAACATCAAGAAAACTACTTGTTGTCATGGAAATGACAGAATGAAACAATCCTGTTATTTAAACCTTATTTTGGAAATTCTGATGCTGAATATATAATTAGACTCTTCCTCTCTTTCTGCCTAATGTTTAGTTTGATAGATTTGATTGTGTAGCACACAATCCTTATCCAAAAAATTAKAACAAAATTTACAGAACATTGTTTCTGGTATTTTTTAAAATATCTTTTGTCATTGGATCTTTATTTATTATATGTGGTGCTGAGAATTGAACCCTGTGCCTCCCTCTTGCTAGGCAAGTGTTCCACCACTGAGCCATGACCCCAGCRCCTGTTATTGGTATTTGGATCATTGCAATTCATTATTTTATATACAGATATATTTTGTCACCTGCCAATGATGACAAAATATAACTTTGCACATATACACAATGCAGAAATTATTAATTAATAACCCAGCTAATAACTAGCTTAAGACTCCCTTAATCCTATCCAAGATTAAACTTTTAAAAATAATTTCAGTAAATTAAAATGTAACTTGTAGAAGCAGAGCAAGATGGTAGAAAAGAGCCTCAAACAATCTCTCCTCACAAATGAAGCTGAACAGTTATTCACACAAACTACCTTCACAAAAACTAAGAAAATCAAATGAGAGACCAGAGTGCCTGCTTTTAATAAAATAAAACAAAAAGATTGAAGACAGGAAAGGAAAAAATTGCTTTTGTCACCTTCCCTCCCCCAAGCAGCAGTGTGAAGAGAAACACTTCCAAATTGGGGAGAGGAAGAGAGAAATAAATCCAGGCCTTAGACTTGAAACCCAGAATTGCCATGGTGAAACCCTGTGCTGGCCAAAGCCCCGCCATACTGCCAGGCCAACCTCCGTAGTCCTATCCACTGGAACAGTGTTGGGACAGGCAGTTGACTGCCTCCACCAGGCCTCCAAATTTGGGTAGCACAGATGGGAACCAAATCTCCATCCTCTGGAGAGCAGGGCATGAAACATGGTAATACCCAGAACCTGGTAGAAACTGAAGGCCTCAAACAGGCCAGAGCTTACAGTTGGAATCTCTAGACCAACTCTGGTATCAAGCAGAGACCTGTGCACTTGTGGGACAGACCCAAGTTTCAGCTGCA